CTTTGAAAGAAAATTACATATAAAAGGATTGGAATCACCCAGGAATCTGCAGTTTCTGCTACATCTCCCTTGCTCTTGGGAATCACAAGTGGGTTCTCCAATCAGACAGCCACGGTTCCAGTGGCCCCTTGGCCCCTTACTGCTGAATGTGGTGAATAGCCCAACCTTGTCAGGCCTCACTTTCCTTATTTGTTAACTGGGCTAATAGTAGTTAAGCAACAGACTCTTTGAGGAATAAATGACTTAATCCAGGTAAACAGGCCTGTTGCTTCTCAAGCACAGAGCAGAATCCCTTCTGTTTACACCACTGCTGTTTACACCACATCACACTGCAGGTGGCCGAGGTGTGCAGTCCCTTGGACATACCTCCCGAGGACAGGCCAGCCTGTAGGAACCTGCTGGAATATGGATGGAATAGGCTTTTCCAAAAGAGCTGCAGGGCAAGTCAGGACTTTTCTGGACTGAAATGTCACTATTACAACTGGAAGGGCCTGGAATTACTGCATCTTTCTCAGCTGATTTGCTTGTTCAGTTAGATGACCTCCAAGATCAGCATAAGCTAGACATGTTCAAACCAGTTCTCGAGGGACCAAACCAGTTCAAAAAAGACTCACTACCAGGATGGAGATAAACAGAAAGAGTGGATAGTCAGGTGACTGCACTGATGATGCCTCTGGAAGATTGAGGACCTCGTGGTGCTGTCCCTAAGCTTCAGTGCAAGCCTGCAAAAGAAGTATAACCAGGAGCAGCGGCCAGTGTGATTGGAGTGTAGCCTTGGCAAGTATACTGAAGCTCCTGCTGCTTGCTCTACTGGGAGCAATAAAGTCCTTATCTCTGACCTGGTAGGATTCTGTTTTCTTGCCAACATCCATGAAATCGTAACAGACTAACTTATTAACTTGTAAGTTGGGGGGAAAGCAAATCACACACCCAAAATCTATGACAATTAAATTTTAAGTTAAAAAAATCTGTTTTGAAAAAACTGAAAATCTGGAATGAAAAGCAGTATGGAAAATCCTTGGATTTCTAAACCTGCTTTCATTCTCTGCTTAATTTTTTAATTAAAAAAAAAAAAGAAGTTTAAAGATCCTAAAGGACCTCTTACCAGTTTTAAACCACACCCTTCCTTTCTTTTTTCTTTCTACTTCCTCTACAGTAAGGTACAAATTTAACAAGCCTTTTAAAAACAAAATAAAGCCTAAATCATAACCCAGAAAAAAAAAAAGAGTGTAACCTTGGTGGTTTGGTGTAGCCACTATGGAGGACAGTATGGAGGTTCCTTTGAAAACTGAAAATAGACTTAGCCTATGATCCAGCAATCCCACTCCTGAGCATATATCCAGAGGGGAGC